TGCTGATATTGAGCCAAACTCCTTTAAGTGTTTGTGGTCCTCAACCTAACCTGAATCCAGCGACCCCAAAAATCTGAGACTTTTATCTCAATTCTGTCTCCGTCAGGTTGTCCATCATGACCCGTGTCGTGGGGGGGCGGGACACTGGAACAGCCTCTACCGATTCAAACACCTGGCCACCGGCAACTACCTGGCTGCTGAGGTAACCACGACAACAGTGGGTGGAAGGATGAATGAATGAATGAATGTGATTTTAAACCGTCAGTAGGATAAACTGTGTGACAATTCAATGTGAATGCAAAGTGACTGCAGGGATTTTCCACAGCAAAATGATCTGTGGTTGATAAATACATGTACTGTTAACTGTACGTACAATAAACACTCTTTAGAAGAAGTGTTTTTCTGTAAAATAAAATAACTTCTACTTTTGATTTGAACTGTTACTACAAATGAATGTAGACAGATTGTTTTAAACCTGAGCTTATCTGACCGTTTGTGAGCTGTCCAGCAATGATTTGTTAAAAAGTGTCTCTGATGAACGTAAACAGCCTTGTCCTGCAGTTGTATGATTGAGGGACAGATAAAATATTAATATACAAATATCAGAAAACTCATCTCTGATCAACATTAACAAGAAATGATCTGCTCAACTTTCATCCAAATCTGGTTTTACACAAACTTCCTGCAGTTATTGTGTTCACTGTTGGGTTCATTGTTCAGTTTATCAGCTGTTCTCTGCTGTTATTGTTATTATTGAATGTAATATGAAATATGATATCTGTAAAATATATGACAAATGGGTTCTGAAACTGATTTAAAGTATACTGTACTGTATTTATTTGTATTCTTGAAGAATCTAAGAAATAGTTTTCCTGCAGTAGATCATATCTGTTGTTGTTGTTTATGCTGTCTGTTGTTGTTGTTGACTGTTGTTGTTGTTAACTGTTGTTGTTGTTGTTGTAGGAGAACCCGGGCTATAAAGGAGACAACGTAGAGTCGTCTTCCTCGGTGAGTCACTGTTTTAACTTCTTCGCCATCATCACTTCATTAGCACCAGAGTCAAGTCAGCTGACGCTATAAAATATTAGCGCAGTAAAGAGCCTCACTCTGACCTCTGACCTCTCTGTAGATCGACGGTAGTCGTAGCAACAAACGCTCCCACGGCGAGAGGATCAAGTACAAGTTGGTGGCAGTGGCTCATGGGAACGACATCGCCTCGCTGTTCGAGCTCGACCCGACCACACTGCAGAAGACGGACTCCTTCGTACCACGGTAGGAACAGTGCCTTTACTTCCTGCCGAAGTTTCACAATAAAACAAAGAATGAGTTTTGTTGACAGTAGCTTAAAAGTTAGAGCTATACGTATCACAATACAGGGGTTACGATTCAATTTACTGCAGTATATTGCGATACTGTAAGCAAGGCGATATGTATGCAATGCAATTTGTAAAAGACTACGAACAATGGAGCAAGAATGCCA